ACGGTAGGTCGGCGCCCAGCGCCGCCAGCGCACTCGCCGCGCGGAGGGGCGGGGCGGGGCGGGGCCAGACGCAGGAAGAGGGGCTGCGAGCCCGCAAGGGTCAGGCCTCACGCGGTGCAAGGGGTCACGGACCTCCAAAGGTCACGGACCTCCAAAGGTCACGGACCTGCAAAGGTCACGGACCTCCAAAGGTCTAGGGCAGCGGTTCTCAACCTGTGGGTCGTGACCCCTTTGGGGGGTGGAACGACCCTTTCTCAGGGGTCGCCTAAGACCCTCGGAAAACACATATATAATTACATATTGTTTTTGTGATGAATCACTATGCTTTAATTATGTTCAATTTGTAACAATGAAAATACATCCTGCATATCAGAGATTTACATTACGATTCATAACAGTAGCAAAATTACAGTTATGAAGTAGCAACGAAAATAATTTTATGGTTGGGGGTCACCACAACATGAGGAACTGTATTAAAGGGTCGAGGCATTAGGAAGGTTGAGAACCACTGGTCTAGGGACTCCTACATTCACCAAGGGGCAGAGTGGCCGCCTGCAGGCCAAATTAGTTCGTGGTTGACTGGCCAAAAGGTCCTACCCTCTGACTCCCTCTTAGCCATTCTTCAGGTCCCATCCTTGGGATAAGGGAGAATCACGACTAGCCACTGATGCAGGCAACATCACCCCACCTCCCACCCCTCCTTCTGGAAAGGTCCTCATTACTGATTTTCGTCCCACCTGGCCCTCCACCAGCAGGATATCCCAAATTTTGGTCAGGGGCATTCTTGTTACCATCAAAGGTCACAAACTACAGCCTCACGAGCCAGGTTCTTCCCCAGATGTGTATTTTTTTGCTATTGTTAAGGCACCACAAACTTTGAACAGGTCTCAAACTTTGAACACTTAGAAGCCTGAAAATTGGGACTCAGAGAATGGGTCTCAGAATTAGATGAGGTCATACTATATGAAGTTAAAGACACCCAAGAAGCACTCAGAGAGGATTAGCTTTTATTACTACCTCAGGAATAAGCCAACAAACAAGAAAAAAAGTGAAAGAATATTTCTTAAATATTGAAGGAACCATGGCTAAAAAAAAGTGACGGGCCTAAGAGATTTTGCAAATGAATTCTTTAATATTTCACTTGTGAAAAAACAATTTCTTAAGTCCTAGTGCTGGAACCAACAAGAAGGCAACAGATTGCACCACTTCAGAAAGAGCACGCCAGTTGTGGGGTTATATATTTGGGAAACAGAATGCTCACATAAGCATCCAATTTGAAAAGTAAGCATGATTCCACAAGATCAAGCAAACATCACATCTGTGCAGTCTCAGGCAGGAGAGCTGGAAAGGAGGGGTGTGCTGACTTCCAGTCGGGAGGAAAACAGCTGCAGCGTAAGTGAAGCTCACCTATCGCGGAATTGGGCCAACCAGGCCTACTCCCAACAGTCACCTGGCAGGGCCAACTCACCTGAAGCACCAGACCTTGTCAAAAAGAGGTGAGAAACCACCAGATCTGATTTAAATGGGAGGTTCCAGAGACAGTTCCCAAGCTCTAAAGAAGATGCGGAATACAGCCTTCTCCCAGCTCTTAGTGTAGGTCAGTGTATTTTTCTTTTGACTAAAACCGATGCTACAATATGGTGCTTCCCAAACTTTTCCACAACACAGCTCACAGAAAATGGAAATATTTAGACATCACACTGGGAGGAAGAGTCAAGATTGTTGAAATGGGAGCTCACTACCCTGGGGCTCTAGTCACCTAGCCATCCCCTTAAGGCTGAAGGGGGTCAGTGTCTGTTCCTGTAACTGGACCCCCTACCCCCAACAAGTAGTGGGAAGCATTTTTAAAGAAATTACTCTGACGATATAATCCTGGTAAACATATGTGCATCCAATATAGGAGCACCTAAATATGTTTTTTTTTAAATCTTCCAGAGGACTTTAAGGTAGAGAGATCAACAACAATACAGTCATAGTAGGGAATTTTAACACCCCACTGACTTCACTGGATAGATCTTCCAGACAAAAAATTAACAAGGAAACAGTGACTCTAAGAACACACTGGATCAGATGGATTTAATTGACATTTATAGAACATTTTACCCCAAAGCTGCAGAATATACATTCTTCTCAAGTGCACATGGATCATTCACAAATACTGTCCACATGTTAGGATACAGAACAAGTCTCTGCAAGTTCAAGAAGATTGAAATCATTTCAAGCATCTTCTCAGATCACAGCAGAATGAAATTAGAAATCAACTACAGTAAAAACACCCAAAAACATTCAACCTCATGAAGGCTAAATAGCATGTTATTAAAACAATGAATGGGTTAACAATGAGATCAAGAAAGAAATAAAAAACTTTTTGGAAACAAATGAAAAGGAACACACAAATACCCCAAATCTCTGTGACATAGCAAAAGCAGTCCCGAGAGGGAAGTGCATAGCACTACAGACTATGAACAAGAAAACAAGAAAAGTTAATAATAAACTATTTAGCCCTACAACTTAAAGAACTAGAAGGAGAACAACAAGAAAATCCCAGAGTAAGTAGAAGGAAGGAAATAATAAAGATTAGAGCAAAAGTAAATGACATAGAGACTAAAAAAATAAAAATAAATCAGTGAAACTAAGAGCTGGTTCTTTGAAAGGATAAATAAGATTGATGACTGTTAGCCAGACTCATCAAGAAACAAAGAGAGAGGATCCAATTAAATCAGAAACAAAAGTGAAGTAACCACTGACACCACAGAAATACAAAGGATTGTAAGAAAATACTGTGAACAACTATATGCCAACAAGCTGGACAATTTGGATGAAATGGAAAAATTCGTAGAAAAAATACAATCTCCCAAAACTGAATCAGGAAGAATCAGAAAACCTGACTAGGCCAATAACAACTGATGAAATAGAGGCAGTAATCAAAAAACTCCCAGCAAACAAAAGCCGGGTCTGGATGCCTTCACAGGGGAGTTTTACCCAACATTCAAAGAAGAACTAACACCTATACTTCTCAAACTATTCCAAAAATCCAAGAGGAAGGAACACTTCCAAGTTGTTTTTATGAGGCCAGCATTATCCTAATTCCAAAACCAGATTAAAGACACTACAAAGAAAGAGAGTTACAAGCCAATATCCCTAATGCACATAGATGCTAAAATCCTCAATAAAATATTAGCAAATCAGATCTAGCAATATATTTTAAAAAATCATACCCCATGACCAAATGAGATTTATTCCAGGGATACAAGGCTGTTAGAATATTCACAAATTAATAAATGTGATACACCACATAAATAAACTGAAGGACAAAAATCACATGATACATCACATATCAATAGACGCAGAAAAAGCATTCGACAAAATCCAACACCCATTTTCGATAAAAACTCTCAGCAAAGCCCTAACCCGTTTGGCTCAGTGGACAGAGCGTTGGCCTGCGGACTGAAGGGTCCCAGGTTCGATTCCAGTCAAGGGCATGTACCTTGGTTGCGGGCACATCCCCAGTAGGGGGTGTGTAGGAGGCAGCTGATCGATGTTTCTAATTCTCTATCCCTCTCCCTTCCTCTCTGTAAAAAAATCAATAAAATATTTAAAAAACAAAAAAACAAACTCTCAGCAAAGTGGGAATACAGGGAGCATATCTCAACATGATAAAGGCCATATATGACAAACCTACAGTGAATATCATAATGAATGGGCAAAACTAAAACCATTTCCCCTAAGAACAGGAACAAGACAGGGATGTCCACTTTCACCACTC